GACCCTGTTGCCAGCAGCATGACCCAAACGACGGGTGAAGTGTACCTTGGTTTGACTCTGGTTGAACCCTCAGATGGACAAGGCAAGGCAGGGCACAGGGCTTTTGGTCAAGCCCTCAGCTAAGCCGAATGCTGCGTGCGAATTCCTGAAACCTCCTACCAATCTGAGGCCCTAAACCCTGGGCCCATAATGGCACTTGGGAACATGTAGGATGCTTGGAGGGCTGAAGCAAACATTGGAGAGTCGTGATACATGGGAATTTCTCAAAATGGGTGGCCCTCAGGGACCCTTGAGATATACCGAAATCTTGAAGCAGATGACCTTACAGATCCGGTGCCTTGACGTCCAGAACTCTATATGCTTCAGCTAGATGGCACGAGCCACATGCATCCGAATTCCGACATACAGGGCATCGCTTATACACGTGACAAAGACGTCACATGCTCAGCACGAACGAAGGACGGTAACCATTGGCTAGGCCCTAGACTTACTAGTCGTTTACTATAGAGCCCCCATCCACATAGTAGCTTCCCGTTGCCCTTCCAGTCCTTTAACAAGTAATAGGGCCCAACAACAAGAATAAGCACATGTATACATAGGGATGTCGTGCATGAGTTCCCTTATACCCTTTTCACGAGCACCCAGAAGGTAGGGACATCCCCCTTTATGCTTGCTTTTTTGGTTTCCATACTAGAGCAGATTCTGAACCATTACGGCTCAGGGGGTGAGAATTTCAAATATGTCGACTAACGTGTTACAGGGTGGTGGCCCCTAGGTTCACAACTATACTTACAATGTCAGTACCATAACTATCTTCTATAGGAGTTATAGGTATACAAATCCTGGTTATATGTTATACTTAAAACCCAAGTTATGATCTAGGGATTTCTTCATGTATGGGTATCCCCCTCGCCATAGTGCCGCCAGAGTTTTTATTCCGAGTGGGGCATGGTCTGGATAGTCACTGATAGTACGGTCATAGGTAGGTTGTATAATAACTGTATGGAATACCTCGAAGAGGCCTAAAAATGGTAGAGGGACTTCTTCAGGCCCCTACAGTACGTCTCGAATTCCCGCTATCCCGAACCGAGTACAGGCCACCTGCACCGCAAACCGAGGAAGGGCATATGGCATCGTGGTCCCAAGGGGCCCATGTAGCTACATAGTATATACTTGGGCACCAAAGCAATCAATTGACAACCTGTTTTGGCTCTAAGTGTCCCTGAGCCCAAGACCCTAAATCCTGAACCCAAAAACCAAACCCTAAACACTGAATCCTAAATCCTTACGCCCAAGCCCTCAGCCCGAAGAATATACAATACGCCTACATGCACCGTTTGGGAGTGGGGAGCGGAAACGTTGAAACCGCTACAAAGGTGCTGGCGCAATTCTCTTTCCAGGGCTGCAAAGTCCAGCTCAGCATTCTCCGAGAAATGAAACCGTTGAACCTTCCCCCAACGCTTGCTATAACATTTGCAGTTGTTAGAAGGGAACATGGTACGGTTTAGGAGTAGGAAATGGATAGTAAATTGGAACAGTAGCTGGAAAACCAAGTGGAAGCTGGAAGTTTAGAGAGATGTAAGAGAACTTCCTGTTCATTGGTAGAGAATGAAGGACGTGGAAGAAACAACTGGAAACTCGTATCTGTTATGGATTATCTGTAGGGGCTGCTAGAGGGATCCAGACACCTAAACCCTAAACCCGAATTCCAATGCCCTAAATCCTAATCCCTGAAGCCAAAGCCCTCCAGTCCCCCCATCCCCCACTCAGCCCGTAAGCAAGAAATCGGGATATCTTCAGCATGCAGGGTGTGCGATTTAGGCTAGAGGCTGTAGGGTTTGTGGTTGAGCCCTGAGCCCTAAGCAATACATCTTCAAGGTTTT